TTTCTATTCGATCTAAGGGGAACTTCATTCGCGATGCGCGAGGGGGTGTCCAAGGCGGTGATGCCCGTGAGCTGCCGACCCTGGGCGAAGCCGCGAAGCCCTTCGGGACTTCGCACCCACCGAAAACATTGCCCTGTTGACCAAGTGGCTGATACCCCGATCCGCCCCGCTCCCCCCGCACAAGCTGTGCCCTCAACCTCCACCACCGAGCCCAGCTGCCCCTCCTTCAGAAGAGAGGCGGCTACTTACGCGTTGAGTGTTTTTTGTGTTAGTGCACTGGCCAGACGAGAATCATTCGAGCAGTTGCTATACATGCTGTACTCGTGCGTCATGTTTATCAAACGTTCATAGGTTCGTACATCATATTTATCACACAGGTGGCATGTGTTTCCATGTTGCGCCGGCATTTCCCCAGTCTGGACATTGCGGTGACGTATGTGATGAAGAGCTCGTGGGGGAAGGAGTGCAATTGCTCGCACTTCAGTGGGAAGAGGCGTAAATGACGGGGAAGGGGGGGGGGGGGGGGGAAAGGACGTTTCTCATTCTTCCCCTGTCGCCGTTAGTGCCCGCAGCGAAGGGTGCCGCCCTGGCACGCGCCCGCGCCCGCGGTGGGTGTGCGGGAGCCACGGCAGATGGCAAGGACCAGAGACAGAAGCCGCAGTCCGGCAGGGCCAGGCGGGCGGGCTGCCAGCAACGATCTGTCCTGATCGTCCGTCTCCTTGCCGCCCCGGAGCTGCCGCTTCATGACAGTGCTCGGCGCGGAGCCGCCGGCTTCCTCGAGCGGAGGGGCACAGATCATCGGCCCCCAGGCTTTCGCAACCAGCGTGCAGGGGCCCGATCCTCTGGAGGGAGCTACCCAGGCCGCCAGCGGGGGGTACCCAGGAGTGCTCGGGAGTCGGTCTCGAATCGCCGTTCCTGACCGTCCACGCCGCATTCACAGCCCTCTTGCCTTTCGCCTTCGGGCATTTCTTTGGACAAATCACCACACAATTCCAGTTCATCATCTTACACTCTCCATTCACAAGTCCCCTCTCCCCATCCACATTCTCCCACTGCACGTTCAAACCCCCGAAAGACAGATAAAGACAGAAAGCAGGAGAGAGGAGGGGAGGGAGTCCAGGCGTTCGGGTACCACGGGCAGCGAAAATACGTAGAAAAGAAGTTCCAGGTCCCAAGGCAATGAACGATTGTAAGTGTGAGCATGACTTTTCGAGCCTTCGTCGTTTCTAGTTTGATCCAGCTGCCTTTGGCAAACCCTGCACAGCAGCGCAGCAGAAATGAGTTTGATTTTAGGACCCGTTTCAGTTCATTGGTTTGCTCGACCTGGATCATGGTTTTTATGTTCTGGTGATAACTGGCGTTTCTGGAAGGGGGAGGGGGGGTGCTAGAACGTCACGATTTGCACTGGTTCTGTCTGGGATTGGCTATGGACGGCAGTAAACACTTTGGACTAGAAGGGGAGTCGAGAGTTACTTGGGAGAGCTAGAAATGGCTAAGGAAATTGTTGAGAGTATGTATGGGCAGCCATGGCGCCAGCAACATGGTTATGATAACTACAACAGGTCACAGCGTGCCAGAGAGTACTACAGATGCTTGGGACAACCACGTGGCGGGAGAAGCCACACATTGCAAGCACCACCATATGTTACAAATGTTACGCGTATGCATGCCGGTGTGCTAGGCTCCCCAAAAAATGCCGCGATAGCTTACAAATGTTGCAGTACGCGCGCGAATGCCAGCAATGTGCCTCTGAGTATCGCATGAGCCTGCGAACGCCATAGAGTGCTTGAGAGCACCCTAATTTGTAAAGGACCATTTGACGGCGCGAAAGGCCGAACCTTGCCGCTGCCACAATGGCACGCGAGCAACGCATGTAGATGTTAGCCACTACCCATAGTAATTTTGCGAACGCTGCACTCTTGCCTTCAGTATGCCAGGCCCTGTCAGTACCATGGCAGGGCGGGAGCATCACAGTACGCTTGCGCACACCAAGAACGTGCACCTGAGCACCACTTTCGTCTGCGAAGCCTACAGCACGATCGACAATAGCACAGCGCTCGCGATCACCAGGTGGCGAGGGAAGCCCGAACCTGCTAATACCACAACACCTTGCGAGCCGATGCTACTGCAACTTTGCAGGACCCTGCAAGTAACACAACAGCTTCAGATCGCCACAGCGAGCATCAGCGATATGCCTGTTCAAACCACAAACCACGACAGCCCGCGAGCGCCACAGCGCGCTCGAGGGCACCGCCGTGGACCACGTGGCGGCGAGAGAAGCTGGACTGTGCCAGCAGCACCCTGCGAGCGCGGCGCACGTGGACAACAGTCGGTCCTTGCCAGTGCCACGGTAGCTTGCGATCACCACAGTACCGTTGCGAGCACCATGGTGGGATCTAACCTGCATCATCCGAGACGGTGCCCAAGGGAGCAACTGCCATCACCCGAGAGAACCAAACACAGAGACCGTTCAGGGCCTTATGTCAGTGGCGGCGCTGGCAGCAACGAGTAGAGATGAGCAAACCAAATGGCAAGTGGGTTCGGTACCTACGTTGGCGTCACCATCGGTAGTTGGCAAAGAGCTGTGACCGCCTTTGCTTTCCTTACCAGCAATGGCGTTGACGAACCCAAGTGCATCTCGCAAACATGTCGGAGGTGAGGGAGTGAGATCGAAGTGGAACGGAGAGCCCCCCTACCGGGAAATCGATTTCGGTTTCGTCTTCGTGCGTGCCTTGCGTGCGGGCGAGGCGAAGCTGCGCGGGCGGGCAAGAGGAAAGTCTCCTGTGGATGGGGCGCGGCCGGACCAAAAGACTCCCTTCCGGCAAACGGTGCTGCGCCGGTGTCCCGCCGGTGTCCCGCTGGTGTCCCGTGTGGCTGAGGCGCGGCCGGATCAAAAGAAAAGACTCCCTTCCAGCAAACGGTGCCGCGCCGGTGTCCCGCCGGTGTCCCGCTGGTGTCCCCTCGGTGTACCGTCGGTGTCCCGTCGTGAGATCGCTAGTGAGATCAATCGTGAGATCGATAGTGATATCGATAGGGAGATCTGAAGTGAGATCGCTAGTGACATCGATAGTGATATCGATCGTGATATCGATAGTGGGATCGATAGTGAGACCGAATGTGAGGTCGATTGTGAGATCGATAGTGAAACCGAATGTGAGATCGATAGGGATATCGGTAATGATATCGATAGTTATACCGAATGTGAGATCGATTGTGAGATCGATTGTGAAACCGAATGTGAGATCGATTGAGATCGATAGTGAGATCGATTGTGAGATCGATAGTCAGATTGTATGTGAGATCCATCGATTGAGATCGATACTGAGATCGATAGTGAGTTCGATTGTGAGATCGATAGTGAGACCGAATGTGAGATCGATTGTGAGATCGATTGTGATATCGATAGTGAGACCGGATGTGAGATCGATAGTGAGACCGATAGTGAGTTCGATAGTGAGATCGATATTGAGACCGAGTTTGAGATCGATTGTGAGATCGATTGTGATATCGATAGTGAGATCGATAGCGAGATCAAATGTGGGATCGATTGTGAGATCGATTGGGGTATCTGTAGTGAGATCGATAGTGAGACCGAATGTGAGATCGATAATGAAATCGATAGTGAGTTAGATCGTGAGATCGATAGTCAGATCGATAGTGAACTCGATCGATTGAGATCGATAGTGAGATCGATAGTGAGTTCGATAGTGAGATCGATCGAGTGCGACGTTGGTCCCCGCCCTCACCTCCTTATCACCCGAGGGGTGGTCGTAGAGGTATTCTGCGCCGGTCTTCAACTTTTCGGCGGGAACGACGGCTCGTAGCAGCCGTTGCGGTGCCAGTTTGATGTTGTTCTGAACCGAGGTGGGCTTCGTCGAAATATCGGTATGATAGACAGGTCCAGCAGGCCAGGTGCCAATGGGGCGTACATGCTTAGCTGAGGACGGAACGAATCCAGTTGCTGCTCTCTCTTTCTCTTTCTCTCTCTCTCTCTCTCTCTCTACCTCTCTCTCTCTCTGTGTATGTTTATGTATGTATTTCTAGCTTGCGCGTTAGCGCTTCCAACCAGTGGTAACAAGCCATATGCTGATTGCGATGTTCTCTTCGACATGTCGCTGCATACCGGCACTACTATGAATCATCCGTGAGTGTATCTTCAGAGCCGTTGTCGCTGTCATACGTCCAACCGCCCACAACCACACGGGCCCGAACCACGACTGATCGCACCCTGCTCTTAGCAAAGCTATTGTGAGACCACATCCTTACAACACGCTTGACGCCTCCCACCTCCCTCCCTCTGGCTCCCAGCGCTTTCAAACACACATCACCAGGGATTCCCTGCCGGAGGCAAGAATGGGGCCTGGTCGGGGCTTCGTCGAGGGAGACCGAAAGCCGTAGGCTCGCACGACTGCACGTGTCCTGAGCCATAGAAGGCAAAAGATGGGGAGAGCGGCAGCGTGCAGGGCGCGCCGACATGTGCACGGTTGGCCTTGCGTTTTCTCCTGGCTCACGGGCCTCGCCGTTCAGACCAACCTTTCTTTACGCACCATCCCCTCACCCACGCCCCCCTCCCCAGGGTTGGAGGAAGGGATGAGGGACGTCACCGCCCACCAAACCACCCCAACCCAACCCGAAGGCCCCGATTGGCCCTCCATTTCCGGTGGGGGGGGGGTCGGGGAACATTGAAAAAACGCATTTGAAGCCCGTACCCTCCCCCCAACCCGAAATTCGGGCGAAATTCGGGTCTTCGGGTTGGGTTGGGGTGGTCTGGCAGGTAGTCATGATAGATGGGCCGCTCTGGCTCTGGCTTTCCGCCCTCGCGCCTCAAAGGCCCTGCAGGGGAGCGAGCAGCTGGGCGGGCGAGCGGCACCGTGGCAGCAGCGAGCGAGTAGCGAGAGGCCGTGGCAGCGACGGCGCCTACGACGCCGACGACGACGTCGATGGGGCGAGCGAGCAGACCCGACCGCGGCCCCGCCCCCACCCGCGGAGGCCCGAGGGGCATGGCGGTCCCCAATCCGGAGCTCGTGCCCCCGGTGCCGGTCTCCGCGGGGAGGGGGGAGTGCAGGAGACCAAGAGGTGCAAGGTCTCTGGCGATGGAGTGGTATCCTGACGCGTAATACTTGGCATCGCTCGGTCGTGTGCATTTTCCTCTGTGGGGACCATCGAGGAGCACCCTGGATCATGTAGCAAAAAGACACGCACGAAACCGACAAATGCACGGGGAATGGACGTTCGAGCGATGGCAAGAAGAAGTCTTGTTGTGAGGGCCTGGTGGGACTGTAACTGACTAGCAGGGCAAATTATGCAATCGAGGATTGATGGACACGAGTGATACACATGCCACCGTTCTGCGTCATAAGAGTGTGTAGGCGGCAGCTTGTTTGGGGGTTCCATTCACGAGGAGTGTGAGTTCACTTGACGGTGGCTGAGCACAGCGTCCAGAACTCATCCACACGGCACTCCAATCAGTGGTGTCCTGAATTGTTGCAGCACATACGCAGACATCCGAGGTGTTGTACGATGTCGAAATTCACCCTTTACACCATGACACTTAGAGAAGGGTGGCGTTTTTTATGTTTGAGCAAAGCTGGTCCAGGGCCCATGTTAGTGATTGCCAGGGGGGCGACTAACACAAACCGCTGGGCAGAAACGCGTGGCACACATGCCCTGGCTCCTGCACGGGGTGAGGATGGGGGGAGGAGGTTCTTGGGGGGCTGCCCTGGTCTCTTGGGGCCGTCATAGGGAGGCAGAGGTGGGAAGGGGGGCCTGGGGGGCGACGAACGAACGACGACGAACATAAAGGACTGCGAGCTCTAGAACACAGGCGTGCAAGAAAATTACTTGCTCAATCGTTAAACCTTTCCCTCGCCATGCCACCCACGGGCGCGCACGGGAAGAGCGCGCACGGCAGATCAGCTGTCCCCCTCCGCGCCCTCCCCCCGTGGCGCCCCCCGGACAGGGGGGGAGGCTGGTGGACCCGGGGCGCAGCGGCCTCCCTCGAGCGGTGAGCGCTTGGCAGCTTGTGAGCTGAAGGACCACGTTGGACTCAGTGGGGGCTCCGGTTTTCGGACCGCTCCCTTGGTCTGGGTCGGGGAACCCCGGGCGCAGCGGCCTCCCTCGAGCGGTGAGCGCCTGGTAGCTTGTGAGCTGAAGGGTGCAGTCCAGACGCTGAAATAGGGACCACGTTGGACTCAGTGGGGGAGGAGGAGGAGGAGGGGGAGGAGGAGGAGGAGGAGGAGGAGGAGGAGGAGGAGGAGGGAGGAGGAGGAGGAGGAGGAGGGGGGCTCTGGCTTTCGGACCGCTCCCTTGGTCTAGGTCGGGGAGCCCGGTCGTGGCCGAGGCTCGCCGTGGCCAGCAAAGTTCCCTCGCTCCTTCTCCTTCTCCTCCTCCTCCTCCTCCTCCTCCTCCTCCTCCTTTTCCTCCTCCTTCTCCTCCTTCTCCTCCTCCTCCTCCTCCTCCTCGAGTCCACCGGGAGGTAAGACACAGCGGCATAAACGTAACCCCTCGGAGTTCCGCGCGGATCTCTTGGATCGGCGCCTGGGCCCCCCCTGGCGGCGCGGGTGGAGCAGCCTCCTGCGAGCGGCGAGCGCCTTGCAGCCTGTGAGCTTCAGAGAACTGAAGGATGGCAAAAGCAGAACGGCTCGGAGATCCGCGCAGATTTCTTGGAGCCATCTTGATGATTCTGAAGGCCATGGGAAGCGAAGCGGTCAGAAGGCAAACATCGTTGATGGTCCCCCGATGGTATAAGGATATCGGCCTCTTAAGGGCCTCCTTGGAAGGCCAACTCGGAGCTCCGCGCGGGTTTCTCGGATCGGCGCTGGGGCCCCTCTGGCGGCGCTTCCGGCGCCGCCCCTGGTGCGCTCCGGCGCCACGGGGGGGGGGGGGTTGGCGCCGATCCAAGAAATCCACGCGGACTTCTGAGTTGTTAAGTTTATGCCATCGTTTAGTATTCGAGAATTGAGGGGTACCTGAATCGAAGGGAAAGGAGGCAGGGGAGGTGAGGCAGGGGGCGGGACGGGGAAGGAGAGGGAAGCAATGGGGATCGATCGCGACGCTTCGTCGCGCCGCTTCGCAGCGGGGGCCTCGTGGTTTTGACGATTCGCTGTTCTCTGAACAGCTTCGCAGAAGTATCACTTGCTTACTTCGCGTTGTCGTACGATTGTTGTATCATCGCCTGCGTCGCTGTCACATCCTTCACGGGCTAGGAGGCGAAAATGCAATGGATAATGGAGTCGTATGCGGGTCTATCCTGCATAGAGGAAATATGAATGCGCTTGGGGCCTGCGCATCGTCGCTCCCATCCTGTATGAAGAGCACAGAACGCGCCTGAGGCCCACTCCGACCTGCGCGCCATGACACGGACCCATCTCATGTGGAGCCCGTGCGGGCCCATCTTGTATGGAAGTTATTCACGCTTCGCGTATCCCGACCAGCCCATTCATACACGATGCCCAGAAATGCTGCCCTGAACGGGAGAGCGTGGCGTCATTCGGAAAACATCGAAAGAAGAGGGCTCCTTAACCAGTGTCCCCCCTTTTAGAGCTCCTGAGATCGCCGCTTGGAGCTCTCTTGCAGCGTTCTTGGGCGCTCTTGCGGCCGCCTTGGAGCCCTCTTGGGTCCCCCCTGGGTCTCTTTGGGGCCCTCGTGGGACCATCTTGAGGCTCCTGACGACCATCGGAAGCGAAAAGGTCAGAAGGCAAGCATCGTTGATGGTCTTCAGATGGTTTGAGGATGTTGGCCTCTTGGGGGCCTCCTTGGAAGGATCCGTGGCCTCTTGGACCCGTCTTGGAGCAGTCTTCGGGCTTCTTGGAGGTATCTTGGAGGCCATTTTGCGCCTTCCTGGAAATATAATGTCATGCTGGCGGTCATCTTGGGCAATCTGGAGCCATCTTTTGTCATTTTGGACGCTCTGGTCGCTCGCGAACCCCCCCCCCCTTCCAGACCCAGTGAGATAGTGTAGGAGGACAGGTAGACCTCTCCCCGAAGGGGAAGAAGGAGGTTGGAAGAAGCAACTTGCTAAGCCACCTACGCCCTAAGGGCTGGTGGGATTACAGTGCGCCTGCGCTCGCGCCGACTCGCGCGCGTCGGCGCGGGCTCATCCTGTTGGAAAACACAATGCGCTCAGGGCCCGCGCCGACTTGCGTGCTCGTCGGCGCTGGCCTCCGCTATCGCATGGAAACACACAATGCGCCAGGGGACCTCGCCGACGCTCGCGCGCGCGCGTCGACGCGGGCCCGGCGCGCGGGTTCTCACAAGCCGTTTCGAAGATGAATTTGGTTTTCGTTCCGTACAGTGGTTGTTCTCCAACACGCGCAGTCGTTGTACGACCCGATTTGCGTGGCGTTTCGAGCCACACAGCGCGCAGAATCATGTGTTCAGTATGTTTCAGCTTCGCCCATGCACTTGCACGCACGAGTTCACAGCATGATTGCTTGTCCCAGGGAGTTGGGCCATTCGTAACTCAGGAAAAAATAGTGTGCATGCCGATGTGGCGGTCATAATGGTACCAGCGGCATTTGCAAGCAACCAGTGGCGTGACCAAGTGGAACGATCGAAAGTTGATTGTTGATGATTCTTGTTCCAGATGAGGCTCATACATCATAATATGATGACGGCGTATTGCCCTCGTGGTTCTGGGCCACAGGTCCACAAGCTTATGGTACGCGACAATCGCTTCATTGATATCGAATTGAAGCAGGCGGCAATATGGTAACCCCATGTCGTGCACTTCTTGCCCCCTTACCTCCTCCCCCTCCCCTGCGCTTTAGGCTTCCAGCCACGTCATTATTGTGTTTCATGTTCTGCCCAAGCGACGTGTATTCCATCTCTCGGGCTCCTTCACTTGACTACAACGTGGTTATGGTTGCTGATGGTGTTGCCCGAGAAGTACTAACGAATGTACGAAATCAGGTGGCTGTCCACCCTTGGCCAACAGATCCGCATGAATTCTGAGTGTGGTGTGCCGAAGGATGCAGAATAGTTGAAAGTGGAGTTGGTTGTTCAGGAGGGCAGGCGAAATAGATGTATGGGTAAGTGGCGCAGCCTAAGCAAGTAGTGATGGCACATAGCTTCAACATGTGCACGTTACGCGAGACGCACGGCAAACGCATAGGATGACAGGATTGTGCAGCGCATTTGGATTGAAGGTTGAACCCCAGACATTCTTCACACGAAGAAGTCGCACGTCCATCGTCAATTGTCCAAGGGCCAGCAAAAAGAGTTGCACCCGTGCTAACCGATTAGGCGCATTAGTTCGTTAATGGCGACGGGAGTTTGATTGCCGCGACTGAAGTGTGATTCCCGATATGTTGTGTATTTGCAGCTGCAGGATCTTAGCCCTGCCTTTGCATTCAGCATCTGTGCAGGATGGTGCGGAAGCTTTCCACGCGCTCAACTTGAGGCTTGCCATGCACATCGCTAGAGGTCAGTCAGGTTGCAAGCAAGGCAGCAATGGCAGGCAAGTGGTGCGCGATAGTGGGCCACTGTAGCATCTCGCGGGCATGCTGGCAGTTTCACATATTTAAAGCGTTCTCAATGTGCAAGGTCAGTTGGGCAGTGCACGATGAGTGCGTGGGTGAAGCAGCCAAGGCATCCAGACAATCTGCAAGCGTACAGCAGACGCAAAATAAACAGACGGACGCCTCTCCCTAGCTTGCCTCCCCCACTGGCTGGTGTAGATCTCGATCTCGAATGGAATCCTGGAGCCTCCAGGCGCACCAGTTCTGTCAGAAAGACTCTGTGATCCCAAGGCCCCAGGTCTCTGATTCCTAGAAGGGCGAGCGGGGCGAGGGCGAGGGAGGAGGAGGCGGAGGGAGGAAGAAGCAGGGCGGGTTGGGCGGAGAAGCACTCTCACGGCGAGGTCTTTGCGGTACTACCTTCCAAATTCGGGTGCCAGGGGCGTTTCCAGGCTATCCCTCGATTGTTTCCGCGCGCCCACCTTCAAACAGCATTCCACGGGGAGGGCGGGCGTGGTCGACCAGACGTGGATCGAACAGTTTGCTTGGATGATCTTCCCGAACTTTCGTGACAGAGAGGGGTGAATCGTGCTGATTATTTGCCTGTGGCGCTCGTGGAAATTCAGACTTCCATAACTTGCAACAGTGGGATAACTCAAGTACTCGTCCTTCCCGTGGTGCGCCAATGCGTCTTCGCTACATGTAACCGGCACAGGCTTCATTGGTTTTGAATGGGCATTCAGAAGGCATTGCAGTTTTACAACTGGTACGTGGCAGTTTTTAGAAGAGGGGTAAACATGTGTGTAAGTCGTTCCAGTTATAGCCAGGCGGTGGGGATATTTCTGAAGCCGTTTTAGAGTTCGGTGGGTTGGTGTTATTCGGGCGAGTGTGTCCGTCCATTCGGGGTGCGGCTGCTTGTTTAAGAGACTTACACGTGTGGTTGTGGTTTCCGTGTGTGTGCGTGTGGCGTTTGTTTACCAGGGTGGGGATGTTTTTGTTCGGAGGTTTGTGGAGTTGCCATGTTTGCCAAGGATGGGAGATTTAGGTGTCAGTTGCTTCGTCAAGTCGGGGATTCTTCGGGTGAGAATTGGGGAAATGTCCTAGTCGGTGCTTGCTTGCAGTCAAGGGATCCGAGCGGATACCGAAAGATTTGGCGTAAGTTTCGGACCGGCTTCGGTGGGTGGCCAGGTTCCCAGGTTCTTGGTTCTGGGTTCTGGTGAAAGCTCTGTGCCGATTTCGGTGGGCGGTTGGTTCCCCAGTTTCATAGGTTCCAGGCCGATTCCTGCGGGCGGCCGGATTCTTTTCTGTGGTTCCTGGATCCGGGTCCCGTGTTCTTTGGCATTGTGAAGTCTACGTTTTCGAGTTTTTGGTGGCAGCCAGTGCCAGGGATTTTGCGACCATGGTCAAGATGAAAGAGCAGGTAATAGAAGAACGGGAGTACACATCAGACACAAAAGAGCAAATTTTAGATAACAGAGAGCAGAGCGAGTTCAGCGGATAAAAACTGTAAATAGAGCAGTCACCGAAAAAGAAAGAGAGAGTGAGAGAGACGGGATATATGTAGAGAGATAGAGTATGTGCGACCACGTGTAGAATAGTACGGCGTATACTTGAGTCCATAGAGAGACCGGATAGAAGGTAGAAATTTCAGAGCAGAGTTCAAGAGAATAGAGTTCAGAGCGAGTTTACAGTGTAGGTAAGGCAAACCGAGCATATATAGAGTTATACACAACGAAAGGGTGTGAGAGAGAGACGGAGTTGAGGAAGCGGGAAACCGAGAGAGAGAGAGATGAAAAAAACAACAACAAAAAACAAATAATCAAACTACGAGAGAACGAATTGAGATATACAGCCGACAGGGCAGGCTGAAGTCGGCAAGCAGCCGCGGCGAGCTGGCGTGGAGTACCTACGACAGTTTCAATGAGTGCACTACTTGGGGGTCTTGTCGTGGGCATGTGGAGTGACCCCAGGGGAGAGATACTTCGAGAACGTGTGCTTGTAAGGGCTGGGGATCTGGTCGGGCGGATTCCGGAAGCTTTTATGGGGAAATGCGTAAGGTTTTTTGGGGGGTGTTGGAAGCAGGTACGTGAAATCCAAGAGTCATCGTTGATTGAGCGTAGTCGGAAAAGGCCCTCTGCAATTCTTGCATCCTGGCCCGTTGGATTCATCATGCTGGCCGAACACAGCGTGTGTGCCCGGTCTCCGTTGCCACGGTTCCGTGCATCGCTCGCCCAGTCCAGGCTGACCCACAGCCTTCTCCAACCCTTTTGCACGAGACGTGCTTGGCGTTTGCTCGCCTGCCCCCGAGCAAGGCCCAGGCAGCAGACGACGCCCCGCACGGCCCAGCTCAGACGGCCCAGGGCCAGAGGACCTGGACGGCCCCGGTGGCACAGACGGCCCCGACGGCCCAGAGGACGCACGCACGGTCTTGGCGCTTCGCCCCGCATCTCTCGCGAAGCGTCGGCCCAGCTCTCATCGACAAACTCCAGACTTACATCGGGCATGTCGCTCCACGGGAGGAAAATTCAAAAATTTTCAAAAAAAAAAAAAAAAAAAAAAAAAAAAAAAAATGGGGACACTGTTTTGATCATTTCTGGAAATTGTTGGATATGTTTGGGCTATTTTTCCGTTTCGTTCAAAATCCCCCTGTAGGAGGACATGCCCGACCTAACTCCAGGCGCTTCGCGCATCCCCACCAACCCAAGCCCGTCAAGGAAGGAGTCCCAGGAGGGCAAGCCGGACCAGGAAAGTGCGACGGTATGCGGCGACGCAAGCAGACGGGGAGGGGCGGCAGCCGCCGTCTCGCTTCCACACTTCCCTGAGAGGCCTCTTGGGGCCATCTGGCTTGGATGCCATCGATCCAAAAAGACGGGGGCCTAAATTTTCCCCCCTCGCTCCTCCCCTTGGATCGCGAAGAAGCGCCTCTTGTGGCGGCCATGGGTCGCTCTTGGCGGTCTGCGGAGCTCCTTCGAGCAATTCGGGGCCTGTCTTGTGGCTGCCTTAGGCGATCGTGGGGCAACCTTGAGGCCTCAGGAACCCATAAGAAGCGAGCGAAAAGTGGAAATCATTGAAAACATCGGGTTGCTGAGTGGTTTTGGCCTCGTGGGGGCATCTTTGGGAGGCTCCGAGGCTCCTTGGAGTCGTATTGGAGGCATCTTATGGCCTCTTGGAGGCATGCTGGACGCCATGTTCGTCCAACTTGATCTGGTTCGCGCCATCTTGGAGGCCACTCTGGGGTAGCTAATTAGGGCCATCTTTGAGCCGTCCTGGACCCAAACGGGCCCTCTGACACATCGCGCGAGCCCCCCGGTCCAGACTCAGGGGAAGGGGTAGAGGGAGGGGTAGCCCCATTCCCCGAAGGAGAAGAAGGGATTTGGAAGAGTGTGAACGCAGAACCACCTGTGCCCAAAGGGCTGGTGGGATTACATGTGTTACATCGTCTCCTCGGGCATGTCGTTCAGCATCATCACTACGGTGGGGGCGTTCGTTAAGGAACGTGCCCAGGAGGCTTCAGACCCTGGAGGGTTCCTTATCTGATGAGGGCGGCGATGATATCCATGGCCGATCCACGATTCGAGTGCCGCCAGCTTCAGACCCTGGATTCCTGATCTAAGGGTTCCTTATCCAATACCCCCACCGTACCCGACCCTGAGATCGCGCATGCGGCGTGGTGCCGCGCACGTGAATATGCTCACCCCTTGGCGTTGGTATGACGCGGGGCCAGCAAAGAGCTGTCGGATGGTTATCGCGCTCTGGTGCAAGCTCTGCAAGGGCAGAGATGCGCGAAAGGCAATCTTCGTCGCCTTGTTTGGGTGTCTCCTTGATCTACCCTGGCTTGTCTGCGACGTTCCCCCACGGAATCTGGCATCTAGGTCAACGGAGGGGCAGGCGAAGACAAGGTGCGCTGAGCGCTTCTCCCTCCCGAGTCCCTCGTGTCTGTCCCCTCCCTCCTCCCTCCTCGACCCCAGGGGCACAAGGTAATCGCGCTTCTCGCGGCGCAAAGCGCAAACCTGACTTAACCAGACCGTGCCTTTCTGGCGCTCCTGCGCCGGCTTCCCCAATCGTGCACCCGCTCCGTGTGAGCCCGGCCGAAAGTGAGGGCTCTTTCCCTCTTCCACCCTCTTTCTCCTCATCTCCCTCTGCCGCATCAGCCCCTTCTCTTCCGCATCCTCTGCTCAAGGGTTGGCCCTTGCCGCGACATCGCTCTGCGGGTGACCGTGGGCAGGAGTCGGGAGGCGTGCGCAGCTGGCTCGCCCCGTGGCAGCAAGGCCGGGCCTCTCATGGGCAGCACCGAGCGTGGGGGGACACCCGAGCGTCCAGAAGAGTACGCCAATTGGGTTCTCGACAGTCGGGTTGGCACAGGGAGATTCCAGTTCGTTTACATCGCCCTGCTGGGGCTCGCGTACGGGCTTCCCAGCGCCCACACATACGCGGACATCTTTGTGCGAATGAGCGGGGACAAGTATTTGCCACCATGGAGTTGGCACCACGACTGCGGGCCTGATATTGCCAGATGCCCCGTGCTGTCCGCGCCCCAGAACTGCAGCGTGCCCCTCGCAGAGTGGGTGCCGGATGCCAGCGGCAGGTCAATCATTGCAGACTTCAAGTTGGTTTGCGCACGCGACCATTTAGTGCCGTTGCTAGGGTCCATCTATTTCTTTGGCTTTGGAGTTGGCTTGATCGTATGCGGGGGGGTCTCGGACGCGAGGGGCCGCAAGGCAGGATATCTTTTCTCAGTGGGCACTTTGGCTGTAGGCGGGCTCCTGGCAGCAAACGCGTGGAGCTGGGCTGTGTACGCGATCGCAAGAGCGATTCTGGGCTTCGGCGTCGCTGGAGCTGGGAACACAACATTCGTGTGGATGACCGAGTACTGTAATCCCAGACTGCGCCCCGTCCTGGCGTGGGTCCCGAATGTGTGCTTCGCTCTGTCCCAATTGCTGCCGTCGGTAGTGGGCTGGGCCATCTACGGCTGGCGGGATGTCCTGCTCGTGGTTGCCCTCATCGCCGCGTCGGGGCTCCTCTACGCGCCCTGCCTCTACGAGTCTCCGAGGTGGCTTGCTCTGCAAGGCCGTGGGCAGGAGGCGTACAGGATAGCGAGGGAGATGGCGGCGGCCAATCGCGTCCCGCCGCCGCCTCCCCCCCCCGAGGCCTGCGCAGCCTCCCGGGCGGGGGAGCCCGCCCACGGGGCGGGCGCACCCGAGCTCGGCCTCGAGGCGGTCTGCGCTCACCTGTGGGGCCCGAGGCTCCGCACGCGCTTCCTGCTCGTGTGCCTGAGCTGGCTCAGCATCTCCTTCGCCTTCTACGGCCTGGGGCTCTTCGCCCCCAACCTGCCCTTCAACGCCTACGCCGCCAACGCGATCAACGCCCTGGTGTCCGTGCCCTTCCTGTTGGCCGGGCAGCCTCTGATCGGGTCCACGCGGTGCGGCCGCAAGGGCGCGGTCACTGGGGGCTTCGTGCTGGGCGGGGCTGGCCTTCTGGGCAGCACCCTCATCAAAAACACCATCGTGTCCATGGTGGTCTACTATGCAGCCAACGGGTTCCTCTGCTTGGCGTTTGCCGTCATCTACGTATGGAGTTCTGAGCTGTTCCCCACGTGCGTCAGGGGGCGGGTCATGGGCTACGCGTCCTTGGCCGGGCGATTCGGCGCCATCTTGGCACCCTTCGTCGTTGACATAGGCGCGACGAGGCCAGCCCTGGCTATCGCTATCTTCGCAGCGCCATGTCTTGCGACCGGTGTGCTGGACCTCCTGTTACCCGAGACGCGCGGCAGGAGGTTGCCCGACACATTCGAGGACATGCATCACGGGGAGTGCGAGCGGTCGAGCGAAGTGTTGATGGCGGGCCAGTCTTCGTCCCAGAATTCTGGCCGCAACACTGGCACGGTCTGACTCGAGCCTCGCCTGTGCGTCGGAGTGCGCGGTTCCTTCGACGCCGCAGGAAAGCGATGCAGCTGCATGTCGTTTGTGAATGAGGCTCGGTTCGGTTTTCTGGATGTTCTTCCAAGTCGCACCGAGGGTGCCCAGGCCGATTGCTCGCTTGATTTCGACACGTCTGCTCCGGCTGATCTGGGCCTCCCCCGAGTTGTGACTTGGGCGCCCACTTCTTCGCGAAATCCGCGGCTACCTCGAAGCCGTGTCACAGCTGGCTTCCAAGTATCCTCAATAGCACATTTGGGTTGGCGCACGTGGCCCACCTGCTCGACTCATCCTCTTTTGGTCGCTCGCCGTCGCTGGCGTGATCCGCCCGTCAGGATCCGCCCGCCCCAACGACCCGCCTATTCGGGCCTGCCCCCCTTGTGCTTCCATGCCCGCCCACCCGTTTTGACTTCCTCCCAGCCCGGAACGCCCGTTCGGGTCCGCCCGCCCGACCCGCCCGTTAGGGCCTGCTCGCTCGTGTGCATGCAAGCCCGCCTGCCCGCTTTCATGCCCCGCCCGCCAGACAGACCGTCAAGCCCCGCCCACCCGACCCGCAATTTTAGGCCCGCCCGCCAGGCCCGCCCGCCAGGGTTCCGCCCGCCCGACCCGCCTGTTAGAGTCCCGCCTGCCCGACCCGCCCGTTAGTGTGCGCCCGCCCGAACCGCACGCACGTTAGGGTCCGCCCGCCCGACCCACCCATGAGGGCCTACTCGCCCGACCCTCCCCTTCAGGGCTTGCTCGCTCTGGTGCCTGCAAGCCCGCCTGCCCGCTTTCACGCACCTCCCGCCCGAACCGCCCATTGGGGTTCGCCCGCCTGGCAGGCTCGTTAGGGCCCGCCCGCCCGACCCGCCAGTTCGGGCCCGCCCGCCCGCCCCACTCGCCTGTGAGGCGTCAGGGCCCGTTCGCTCGTGTGTGTGCTGCAAGCCCGTCCTCCCGCTTCCACTGTCCCGCTCGACCCGCCTGGCAGGGCCCGACCGCCCGACCTGCCAGTCAGGGCCCCCGCCCGAGCCGCCCGTCAGGGTCTGGTCTGCCCGACCCGCCCGTCACGGCCTGCTCGCTCATGCTCCTGCAGGCCCGCCCGCCCGCTCTCGTGTCCCGCCCGCCAGACCCGCCCGTTACGGCCCGCCCGCCCGACCCGACCCGCCCGTTTCAGGTCCGCCTGCCCGGCCCGCCCGGTGGTGCTCGCTTGCTCGAGGAGGAGATGGGGAGGAGCAGAGATGGGGAGGGAGAGGGAGGAGGGAGTAAGGAAGAGGAAGAGGAGAGGAGGAGTGCGGGAGGACGTGAGCTAGAGGAAGGCGTGGAGGGGGAATGAGGTTGGAATGGGAGGGATGATGCGGACAAGCCCCCAGAACGGGGACTAGACAAAAGCGCAAGCAGGGGCGCACGGACCATTCCCTTCGACGACGACGACGACGACGACGACGACGACGACGACGACGACGACGACGACGACGACGGGGACGACGGGGACGAGGGCGACGGCGAGGCGGCCCACTGACAAAACGGTCCTCCAGCGAAGCGGATCTCCGGCGAAGCAGGCTTCTGGCGAGTCGGATCTCCGGTGAAGCGAACCTCCGCCGAAGCGGGCTTCGGCGAAACGGGCCCCAGCGAAGCGGGCCGCTTGCGAGGCGGGCCCTGGCGAAAAGGGCCCTGACGAAATTGGTCGGGGCGAAGCGGGACTCCGGCGAAGCGGACCCATGCCACCGCGCTTGGGTTTTAGTTCAGAGGCTTTTAGGGTGTGTGTGTGTGGGGGGGGGGGGGGATTTCTGGGGGAGACCTCTCAGGCTGTTTTAGGGGGTGTCTTGGGGCCTGATATGGGTCTCTTGGAGGTCTCCTGGAGCTTTGGGGGGCCTCTTGGGGGCCTGCTGGCGGTCTCGGGGGTCATCTTGGGGCGGAGGTCGCGAAATGTCAGTTCGAGTTCCCCCCTCTTGGGGCCCTGTTAGGGCCGCCTTTGGCGGTCTAGTTGGCCTCTTGGGATATTGGGGCCCTGCTGGGCCGTCTGGGGCCCCCCTGGGCCGTCCAGGTCGGTCTTGGGCGTCTCTTGGGCCAGCCCGAGAAGGCGAGACACCAAACCTGAGGAAGATCAGTGATTTGGGTAACTTGTGGACGACGACGACGACGACGGCGACGACGACGACGACGACGACGACGACGCAGGCCGCCCCGCGACGCCCCCGCCGCCGCTGGCGCCTGAGTGGCCTCTCGGAGCCGTCTTGGGGCGTCTTGGGGCTTCTTGGGCCGTCGGTCGACTCGGGGCACCCTCGGGCCGTCTGGGCTGCTCGTTGGGACCCACTTGGCCCGTCTTGGTGACTGTCTACATCCGGAAAAAAGGCACGCGGGGACACGCGAGACCACGCGACACGCCTCGGGGAAACCATCAATGTGGGTCCCGGGCCCCTGAATCCACAATCCTGAGGACTGAGGGCGGAGGTCAAAGGACCTGGGAACACTCCAAGTCGTGCCCCGCGACAAGGCGGTTAGCTGTACACATATATGTATATATATATATATATACATATACATATACATATACATATACATACATGCATACATACATACATACATACATACATACATTGGCTCAAGCCCTCAAGCCCCGTTGGCTCAAGCCCTCAAGCCCTCAAGCGGCGGAGCGGGCAAGCGGGCAGCCCGCAGCCCTCCCTTCCATTCATCCTTCACTTTCCCCCTCCGCATCCTCTGCCAGTGCTGCCGCGATGGCCGGACGCTGCGCCATGTGCACCGCCGGAGGCGTGGACGCACCGGCTCTCCCTGGGGGGACCCTCTGCGCCACGCATGCCGCGGCCGCCCCCGGCGCAGCGGCTCACACCGGCGCCGCTGGAACCGCAGCCCCGCCAGCCGCCCCACCGGGGCTGGCTACCCAGGCGCCTGGCGCACATGCTGCTGGCGCCGTTGCAGAGGGGGCCTCCGGTTCGCCGCAGCCGACGCCGGCGCTGGAGGGTGGGCTGGAGCGAGCCCTGGCGGAGTTCATCGAGGGGGCCATGTTGCGAGATAGCGAACTCGTTCAGGCTCACTCTCAACTGGGTGGCGGAGCGCTGCGGCCGCCCACCTTCCAGGAGCTGCTGCAGGACTGCACCGCCGACAGCATCAACAAGCTCCTCACCGCCTTGGCGTACCAGGTGGACTCGACCGACCCCTGGGCGGTACTCGGCATGGCCGCCTACTCCGGCGGGGACCCCACCGAGGTCGGCATCGCCACGCGCTACCACACGGCCATGAGGCTCATGAACTACGCCACCACGGCTGTGGCTTATCCGGCCGCGGCGCTCTCGACCATCGAGCGGTGGCAGGCCCGCTTGAAGGAGGCCTCCACGCAGTGCACGGTGGCGCTGCCCGACGTCCTCCAAGCGAGGCGCATGCTGCATGGCAAGCGCTCGCCCAAACTTCCGGCTTGCAAGGAAGTGATCGGGGCATGTCTCCGGCGTCTGTGCGACACTCTCCATTCGGAGTGTCCCGATGGACGGGTGGCCCTCCAGCACTCGAACCACTTCAACATCACGTTTCAGGAGTACCCCAACTGCTTGGACGCTGACGCCACGAAGGGCCTGCAGCACATCTTGCACCAGGGCCCCACGCAGATCGAGGAGTGGATGAAGACGTACCCGCACCCGAAGCTGATCACGTTCGCTCCCGAGGATCCCGGGCAGGCGCAGAAGGTCCTGCAGGCATGGCGGGCGACTGCCGGAAAACGAGCCCACCTAATTAGCATGACCCTGGCCTCCACACTTCACCCGTTGTACGGATGCCGATCGGATGCCGATGTGGTCGACTTCCTCACCCACCCGCTGCACCACAAGCGCTGGGAGGACGTCATGGTGGCCAAACGCCTGCTGATCCCACCAGTGCCAATGGTCTTACAGGGCCCCCATGGTCCTATATATGGCCAGCGGAGCCTCCTCATGTGCACCCTCGGGACGCCGAGCCAGGCGTGCCCCCTGGTCTCAATGCAGTGGGCCACGGACTACTACGCCACCAACGACTCCACCAGAGCCTTGGTCGAGGTTCCGGCTGCCGCCCAATGGCCGGCTTACTACTTCCTGAAAGGTCTGACCTTGCCAGCCATGATCGCGGTGGACACCCCGACCCCCAGCAAGGCGAACACCAAGGACACGCGTTGGAGTTCCATCCACCTGCACTTCAGCACCAAGGAGGCCGGCAGCCTACTACGGGATGCCACCACGACATGGCTTGTGCAGCAGCTCCAGCGCTTCGGCGCTATCGTGGGCTTCCTGGACCTTGTGCAGGACCCGATGGCTATGATCCTGGAGGCCACCAGCATTGCAGCGCTCCCTGCACACAATGATCTTCTTCTTGGAGCTTTGGCGCTGTCTCCTACCCGATTCGTTGTCGCCACGCTGGGTACGGAGGCGGAGTGGACGCACCGCCTCACTAGGCAGTGGAAGGCCACCCCGTTGAACTCGGTGGATTTCCTCCGCCGGCGCCAGTCGACGTTTCAAGGCATCACGTTCGCGCAAATCGACGCCACGAAGCAGCAGGTGAAGGATTCGCGTCTGCGGGGTGGCCTCGCCCCGGTGCTTCCCTCCAGCAGCCAGCCCAAGACGCTGCAGGCGACGGTGGCGCTTGGCCTCGGGACGACGGGGCCTGCCGAGGAGTGGGTGGGCGCCCTCATGGCCAAGGTCGGGCAGGACATGCACGTCAATCTGGTCCGGGCGTCGGGGCCGCGAGGCGCCCTGAACTTCGGGGAGTGGCGGCTCAACTACGACACGGAGGGGCGATGGATGCAGCAGGAGCTCGTGCAGCTCTCGTCGGAGGAGGAGCTTCACGCACTTCACCGGCTCTTGCACGGGAAGCGCCTCACCTTCAGCGGGGCCGACACCATGCTGCAGGTCACGTCGTCTTACGTTGACTGGGGCTCGCAGGGCCCGCTGCCAGCGTCAGGGGCAGGCGCGGGAGGGGGATCTTGACTATCCCCAGGGCGTCTGATAATTCAATTTGCATGTTCGGCGCCGACTGGGTCTCCTGCCAGCTCTATGGGATCTTCTGCCTCATCTACTTCACGCCCACAGTCTATGCCTTCGGCGGCCGACGCCAGCAGCAGCACAGCAGCATCTACGCACACTTCACATAATTCACATAATTCAAGTAATTCTTCGAATTCGGTGCCGTCTCAAGCGCCTCCGATACGACGTGGAGCCCTACCGCCTCTTCTGCGCCCCTTTTTGGGTGACTTCCGGGGCATTCTCTGGAACGCGCAAGCGTACTTCGCTTCAGACCCAGACTTGGAGAAACGAAAGCAGGCCTACGTGGACAGGATCATGGTCGACCGGGACTTCGGGTGTTTCACAGAAAACCACAGCAACGATGGCAAAGTGTTTGCTGCGAAGCTCTCTCCTGGATGTCGGCGTTTTTGGTCGCATGGTACTAACCGCACAGGAGGTGTATCAGTTCACGTGAAGGAAGACTTCCTGGCATCTTTCAATCCGGTCAGCGCCGATAGCTGGGTCCACGTGGTCCCGGGATGGATTGCCAAGCTGGAGTTGAA